CAGGAGGCAGGCGCACAATGAAGCAGGAGGTTGTCTTAGACCACCTTCTCAGCCTTTGACTTGAAGCCTGATCAACAAGGCAGTGGGGCAGTGTCAGGAGCTACGTCCTCATGGTTAGTGGCGATTGAAACAGGTATATACACCATTTGACGTGTTCAGACTCTGGAGCCCATGAGTACCGTAGGTTTGGAATCAGGGTTTTCAGCTCTCCTAGGTGTAGCTGTATGTCTACCAGTCCGGTTTTAAGCGGTAGACGTTTGGTATTCGTCCTTTCATTTTCGTGAGGGACAACCGTGCTACATGTTTCTTCCGTCTTCGCCCTTCTTCTTCTCCTTAATATTGTTATTATTATTATTATTATTATTATTATTATTATGAAACATACGTTGATTTCCCTTCACTACCACAAGTATGAATAAAATGCATCAAAGTAGGTTTGTTTTTACCAGAATGTCCAGTCTGTGGGACTTCATTGGCCTAAAATTAGGTATTAGATAAAATGGATTTCCACCCCATTTTTTCTCAAAATTAACTCTAAAAGCTCCCTATTTTCTTGCAAGTTGTATGTCATCTAGTGGTCTAGGGGATAACGCTGTGGCGTTTGAAACTATGGGTACTGGGTTCGAGCCTCGGTGGGAACATCATCACTCACTGAGAAATGCAGGTACATCCAGATGACGAGTCCCAAATAGGACGAAATGCGCATCCTGGATTCCACTGCTAGCCACCATCCACCAATTGTATATCATCTAAACTTAATTTTCAAATCATTGATTAATCTATAAATAGTAGACGACTAACATCTTCAAAGTTGTTTTCAAGTATTGAAATTTAGATATGTTAGCATAGGTAAAGTCGAGTTCGAGTATCTAGAATTTCATATTGTTATTGTTATGAGTGTGGTGGTTTGGGATCAATAAGCGTCTTCATTGTTGTTACCATAGTATCTGTAATATGCGTGAATGTATATAGGAGAATAAAGAAGTTGCTAAGTGATTCACTGCTATGCATGAAATGGTAAATATTTCCCAATTATTACTTTATGCAAATCTCACTGCCTGTTAACGGAGTCGAGTGATGAGAAAAATGAACAAAAGTATGATAATAAGTCTTCTTTTAGACTTTATTCATTCGTAGTAGGCTAAATTATGCTGGTCGTTCGATTTCAACCCATTAGTTGCCTTGATACATGAACACTGCAGTTATGTAACACCTTTTATTTTTTTCTGCAATCAGTTCACTTCTTATAAACCAAGGTAATAAAATAGTGCTTATTATAATTCGTTCTTTGTTTTCCGAGTGAAGCATTGGTCTTCAGCGGAACATCTCCATTGCATTCGATTCTCTGTCATCATTTTCAGCTGGCTCGACAGCTGCCCCTAAGTTTTCACTTCCTCTTCACATGATCTCCACTACATCACCCTTGTACCTCCCCCCCCCCCAATCCGTTGCTTATCATTCAGATTCCACCTGAAGGTGTGGCATATGTTGTCAGATAGGTGCGCATATCTTGTCCATTTACATTTTCTGCATATTTGGTGATCAGTAGACTCTTGCATGGTTCACTGTTAGAATTGTCTGTTCCTTATCGTTCCCGGCCAGCCGTGTGATCTTGACTATCCAGCCAGTTTGACAGCTGTTGATGAAAGTATGCAGCAGGCTGTTTGGAAATGCTTTTGAAGATATGTAAGCCGCGTCTGAGCTATAATCGGAACACAGTCTTGTAGATCTCTACATTAATTTTCGGGCAATGAACGACTATCTTGCTTTCCCGATCACATTCTGTCTGGCTTCCACGTCCTCATTGGTGCCTTTACCTATAGTTGGAATGATGCTACCCAGAGGAGTGGAAGACAACTACCTCTAGATATCCGTTGATTCTGATTCATGTTTGTCGTTTTTGGTTGAATGTCTTCATCACCTATGTTCCCTGTGTATTCACCTGAAGTTGTAGCTTGGCTGCCTCTTTTGTAGACTCGCAGGCTTTCTCTTGTTAATTTTCGAGATTTTGAAAAGTGAAATGTAAGTCTTCCGAAAATTCCATATCTTCCATATTGTTTTTATCGGTCCAACGTATGCCTATTTCACGCTTCATGACCTGTTACATGACTGATCCATCGCAATCAGGGATATAGTAGGTAGTCTTCTCGTATTCTTGTTTTCACTACAAAGGCTTCGCTAAGCATTCCTTTGGGGACTCATCATATAGTTACCGCACTCCTTCGAGGTAGATGCTACCTCAAACATTTTCAAGGTCGATGAATTTGAGCTGAAGAGCTGACCACCAATCTGTCTTTTCATTGATGATAAACAGTAATACTGCGAATTCATCTGTGCAAGAATTAGTTTTCCTTAGTCCAGACTATTCAATTCATAATTGCATTTTGACCCAAGGCCCTCACGATGCTGGCCTCCGATCCCCCAAGATAGGAGTTGTTATGTGTGACCATCGACTATCACAGAAGTCTGCTGATCAGAATTCACACTGTACAAATACCAACTGCCTGTTAGTCAGGCAAACATTGAGTCAGATTTTATTACCTCTTGATAAATAATCGTTACACTGCCTATCTTGTTGTCAGTATGGTTAGTCTTCGTAATACCTCTTAAATATTTTTTATTTTATTTTTTTATATTTTTGATTACAGCTTAATTCCACACCGTATTTTTGGAACAATTGTGGAATTTTCAGCGTGGATATCGGTAGCCCAAATTTTGCAAGCCGACTATAGCTATCAAGTGTGCGTCGGTGTGGGCTCGAACCCCGGACCATGTGCATGGTCGGCGAGAGTCCTAACCGCTGTGCCACCAGTACTGCTGTAAACCTATCTCCCATTTGATCTTGAAATACACGTTCTAATATCATCATATAGATCTTCTCATTTGCTAGTTAGGCTTCAGGAATCCTCCCGATACGACGAGGTAGTGGCGACAAATACGAATACGGGACTCAATTGAGGCTCCATAATTAGGATGAATACAATTTTAATTCCTTTTTTTACTTCACGTTCACCAGTGGAACATAGGGCTCCAAGCTAGTGGCTTGAAGTTTCCGTAGCAGTGTTTATTTTACAGGATGGAGTTGCTAGCCTAATGCACAACCTCTCCTCTTTACCAGAATTATTTCTGGCGTAGCGAGGTAATGGAGTGCGTCGGCCGGGGACCGAACCCGGAGCATGTGCATGGTCGGCAAGCGTCATAACCGCTATTGCACAAACGCACAAAAGCCGTGTGCGCCGGCCGGACCAATTTAAGCGTATGTCTGGTGTCGGAAGCTGCGTTAACTCCAGCTCCGTAAGCATATATTAAAGTTGCTTCAGTTTAAAAGCTCTTAGTTGAACGCGATTCATACAGTCCCATGCTGTTGCTTGTTCTCCGTTTACTTGACAAAACGAGCACTTGTCATAAATTGTTAGCATTGCTTACTGTCTGGCAATCGCAGCCTCATTGATTGTTGTGGGAGTTGACTAGGGAAAAATATGAATTCCAACATTATCTTACTTTCCTTATTATCGGTCATTGAATTACGTTAGATCAAAACTGGAGATGAAACTTTCAGGTGTCCGTAGTGAGCCATACCAAAGATTAAGATGAAGTCTGTCTGATTCAAGGTGTGTGCATCTGTTTTGGGAAGTCCGATGTTGAGGCTGCTTCCAAGTTACTTCGTTGTCCACTGACAATATCCTTTCTATGTGATTAGAGTAAAGCTTTCAGAAGATCTAATTAAAAACAATATTGTTCGCTTATATCTTGTTCTAGTACCCATCCCGACAAATTTGAAGTAAAGTGTAAACTACCATTTTATGTCTTGTTCGATGATGATACATAATGTTGCAGTTTGACACGTGCATAACTTGGTTTTCTGAATCCATCTATAGCATGTTTTAGTCGTTACAGGATGGTAGGTCTCAATACTTTGCATGGGGTCCACAGAAGCATGATCTCACGCCATGTCCACTGAGATCTGTGAGTCCGTTTTCAGTGCACCTGGATAGATTCCACCTGGTCCTACTGCTTTCTCGGCTTTGAACACTTAAGTATTCAATTTTTGTCCGGCGATGTTTGTTCACATCCATTTGTCCCAACCGAGGTAGGTATCTGGTTACTCGATAGTGTTGTGACATCTCTTTAACGTGCAGTCTATTCTGCTTCAATCGCCAGCGTATTTTAAAAGCGTCGTTTGTCTTTCCTAGCACTTTTCTTCACTCATTTGTTCAGTGAGTTGTGGATTACACTCAGCTTCTCCTTTCGTTGTTCATTTCTGCAATAGTTTATTTAATGCTTCACCATCCTTCCTTCCGCTATAAGCCTCCAGGTGTCCTCAGTGTGCCATTATTTGTCCTGCTCCTTCTCCGTTGCCTCGAATCACCAACTGTTTTTAATGCGCGCAGATGTATGCAGAGAGTTACTCGTTGTGATATCTGTTTCTGTTTCACAAATCAACACTAATCCTTTGTTTCATAAGTCTATTTTTGATATAGTGCAAAGTTACAGAGTGTCGCCAGTCGTACATTATCGTTGTGAAGGTAGCGCTGTATCACAAATTGACAGGGAGTTGGCATTCACAGGTCATTGGATTCTAGCCACGGTGGCTGGATGGTTAGCGAGCTTGGTTTCGAAGCCTTAAGATCTCGAGCTCTATCCTCGGGAGGATCTCGGTGAGCACTGTGAAGAATCCCGAAATAGGAGGGAACCTCTGTTCAGTGGTCCCTGGTTTTCAGTAATCTCTGTGACGTGTTGATTTGTGAATAATAGGTGGAGTGTAAATGTTCAAGGAGTATTATTTGATACAGCTCCCGTTTTATTTATGTTTAGCAGAATGTCCCACTTGCTGTGGAAAGTGTGTCAAGTCATCACTTCTGAGAAATATTTAATCTTATAAATTGTTATAATGCAGAATAATGATTCATATTTTAAATAGTGTACTTTGGGGGATTAAAGCCTATTAATTATGTAGTTATTACTAAATTTTATATGTATATTCTTTATCTGATTTGTAGGAACGTGATTTAAAACAATACTTACATGATTGTCATGGAATTATGCATCCGGATAATGTTCAGTTGTTTTTATATCAACTACTACGTGGTTTAGCCTATTGTCATGAGCGGCGTATACTTCATCGTGATTTGAAACCCCAAAATTTATTGATCAATAGTAGAGGGGATTTAAAACTTGCAGACTTCGGTTTAGCCCGTGCTAAATCAATACCAATTAAAACTTATTCTAATGAAGTTGTTACACTATGGTAAGTTATATGTGTTTTGTTGATTGTTATAAGTATTTCAGGTGTTCAAATAAATTTCCTGTCTTGAGTTTACTGTGTCGCATATGCTCTAAATTTCTTGTCGAATATGGCTGTGTGCTTGGTTTGAATTCTTGGAACCACCTTAATTAGTTTTTGAACGGGAAGGTATTTTTGAGAATTTAGACCATCTATACGTTTGTTATTTTCTTCTACACCTATATTTATTTCGTGTGTTTTAATATAATTGTAGTTCGTTTACTGGTTTCTTTCCGGATATCTGTGTATTGTTGAGACATATGAGAATTTGACCTCATACATTTCTGTTCAGAATTCTCTGCTGATCAGTCTGTCTGTGGTTTGATAGATTCTATAAATAACACATTTATTTTCATATATTTGTAGGCTGTATCGCCTTTGGTTATTCATAGATCAACAACGACCTACAGAATTGTTTTACTAAATCGTTAACAGTTGATTAGTATATTTGCAATATGTGCAAGTCTGATTATCAGATAAATGATTTTGTGTAGTTTATTTAAAGAAAAAAAAACTAATTAAGTTTTACTTACCACCGAATTGATTAATTCTAGCTGATATGGATATGATACAAGATATTTCTCTGAATGACTGTTGAACAGAGGTCTCCATTTAGGCTTCATGCTTGTGGATATGAACAAAAATCGATTGGTCGTTTAGTAGTTCTGCTTGCTTCAACACGTTTGATGCAATTATGGAGCGTCGGTGGCACAGTGGTTAGGACTCTCGCCGACCATGCATATGGTCCGGGGTTCGAGCCCACGCCGGCGCACACCTGATATCTATGGTCAGCCTGTAAAATTTGGGCTACCGATATCCATGCTGAAAATTCCATACTTGTACCAAAAATACAGTGTGGAATTAAGCTGTAAATCAAAAAAAAAAAAATAAAATAAAAAAATACTTCATGGTATTCCTACTGTACAGCCGTATACACTTAGGTATACATGAAATTCGAAGACATACTGTATTATCAGTATCATTTCACTTCAGTTATTTTCCTCATTGAGAAAATAGGGCTTTTCCTTGTAATCAATTTCTTTTAATGCTGCTACTTGCTTATTTGACTACTCAAATTCTTTCTTCATTTGACCAAGGTGTGTATTTCAATCACCTATGTGCTACTTGTAACCCTTTGCATGACTCTTTACAAGATGAACACTTTGGTCGAGCAGTTCACAACCCTGTTTGTCTAATTATGCGTAATGAAGTGATTTGGTTATTCGCAAAGTCAATTTCAACCCATTCACTTTATTAACTAGTAATGAAGTTGTATAATGTCCATTATCTAATTTTTTATATTACTAATACTGTTTGTTTCTTGTTTTTTCGTTTTGTTTCATGTAACACCCCTCCATTTCAGATGGTTAATAGATAATAAAAAGTTAGTAGGATTTAAAATTCAAAAAAGGGAAGTTCACCACTCACTCATTAAGTGACAACTAGAACAATCGGAAGAACTCTCTACAAAAATTTCTAATTACTCACTACCTAGTTATATTTTTTGTTGAAATTGAAACGGTTTTAAATATCTGGCATCAGAAGAGAAGAGCATAGTACGGTAAATATTACTGTATAACACTGGGTGACTTTATCAAAATAAATGCTCTCCATAATGGAAGAATATTTTCTAGTGTGCTAACACTGGGTTCAGATTAGAATCAACTTCAATTAAACCCTCCAGTGAGAACATTAAAATATATTTTGAAATATGCTGATTACAATTCATTGGTGGAGACTTTAAGCGATTGACACGTGAAAATGAATACATTATGTTCATTTCAGCTATGCTATATTTTTTACTCTTCCTTTTGTCCTTGTCTGTCGACCTTTCGCTGACTACTGTCAGTAAAATACTCATTTGTTTTCTTTCTTCACGTTGGTTACAGTTTCAGTGTAGTAATCATGCTACGTTCTACGTCGCTTATTATTTTGCCATGTATAATTAATGCATCAATAACAGTGTTTCACACTCATAACGTAGTTATGAAATTCTGTTTTTGTTTAATCCCCTACATGACTGAATTCGTAAATACATGATTTCAAAAGTACATAAGGTCATGATTACTGAATATCATCTATGTACTTTCTTATCCTATTGAATAGTAAATGATCCATTGTTTAATTTGTACTTTAATTTATGTCTGACACTGAATGATAATTATTCACCAATAATTCAATAAACTAAACAAAGGTCAATGATTACGATAGCTTACGTTAATAATTTATTAGTTTGCACAGATATTGATAATGATACAAGGTTATTCCATGTGTAATAAACTAAAGGTCATTCGATGTATCACAAAGTACAGTAGACAGTTTCTTCATCTTACATTGAGACTTCTCATCACTTCAATTTTTTGGCCACAGGACTACTGCGTATGGGACCCAGAAATGTTGTATGTCACACCGATTGTGTCGCTCACTATTCAACCTGTGTATCGAAAGTGAATGATGGAAACAGAGGATATTGCATTCTGATATAGTGTCTGAATGGTAATGTGAAACAGCTAAGGTCTTTAGTTCCTCTTATCCATGGAGCGATGAGTCTGCACTGCTGAAGAGTCTGAAAGACTAATGCAACAATCGTCCAGTTTTTTGTGTGGATTTTTGGTATATTTTTGCAAACTTTCTTTTCTAGACATAGTTGTGGAGGGAAAAGCCTAAATTGTAGGAATGCAAGTAATAACTGACAAGTTTTTCTCTCTTTTCTAGATTAGTTAAAATACTTTTACAACATCACATGACACAAATATTCAAAATGAACTTCTCTCCTAAATAATTTTTTGTATGTTAGATGGACTTCTAATCACAAAAAACAACATCGTCATGATTGTCTTCGGTACAACATCACAGGGAATTAATTAAAATTGAATTCCTATCAGTATTTCTGTTCTAATGGAATTCAACTTCTGACTGTATAGTTAAAATTCACTTGATTGATTTAATAGCATTTTGCGGTCTCTGACACTTACGATTACTAATGGTAGTAGTAGTAGTAGTAGTGGTATGCTCGTTCTTTTAATTATGATCCTTTTCTCTGTTTGAAGCAGTAAAAACCTATTCACCAACACAACAAATCTTCTTAGGATTCATTACTGACCAGTGTATGTGTACCTTTGTACTATGATTGACCGTTAGCACTTTTTTTTAGTTTAAATAGAGATACTGTCTGCACTAACCTACTGTGCACTGCATGGAATATTGCTTGTAGTAATGGTTATGAGAAAACGTTTTCCTCTTGAAAAATGTGTGTATATCCCCGTATGTGAATGTATTAACTGCATAAGATAATACATTATTAAGGATTTAAAATTTCCCAAAGTTGATTGGTACATAAACACATTAGTACTATATTACTTAAAAATCGTATTACAATATGTTTAGATTGAAGCGAAAATTATTGTCTAGCAATTTCGCTGTTTCCCATTGCCATTCATTTACTCAATAAACACTATTTCTGCATCCTTCACTTAAGCCAACATATTCGAAACTGAATTCGAACGTAAGCCCCATTGAATTTTGAGTCGACCTTTCAAGCTAGTGAATGATACTACTTAATGACTAGGTCGTTTTGGTTCTTTGTAAGCGATGCTTTTGTTTCATGATGTGAGCAATAGATTACTTTAAACGAGCTACTGACAATTTTGAAAACTGATTCAACCTACCAAAGTTAGTACTGACATTGTAGGCATTTATTACTTTATTTAAAACACGAACTTGGCACAATATGAGCACTATGATATGCGCCACACAACAATAATAAAACAATAAAGAAAATGAGGATAGAATGAGTGAAGGGCGTTGTCCAGAAAGTGAGCGAACTTACTCCTCAAGATCATTCAGCATTAACCACTTCATGTTACTTTCAGAATGGGAATAAGGAGTGGAATTGCAGCATCTTCGCCACTGATTGCGATTCTTGACCGTATCTGTTAGCATTTTAAGCCAGCGATTCGAGTCACCTATTGCACCTCAACCACGGAGTCATGGTGATCCAACCGATTCCAACCTAACACAAATATCTTTCATCCACAGAGTCGCATCATAGGCTGACCACCTCTCCGATTTTTCCATCCACTCCCATGGCTAGCGAACAGCGACCAGTACGAAAGCCTCTGGGATGAAATATGTCGCACATATTCGAGCCAATGAAATCGGTGTTTTCATATGATGACACTCAATGAATGGTGACTTCCATCGTGTCCAAACACAAGCTGCCAGGCCTCAGAATTACTCACGTGATGATGCTACTAGACCTAAGCAATTGTATGGAGAAAGCGATGACTGAATACTCAGAGTCACCTCACATCCTCAACTCAGAGAGGCCAAGTTTCACAGGTGCAGAGCAAGAGTGGAAGCTCTGAAGTATTGTAAACCCAACCTTTGACAGCCAGGCTAACGTCACGACGGATCCAGGAGTGACCCAAATTGGCGTATGCCAACCTAGCCTTCACTACATGGTTAGAGATCCCTTCCTCCATACCTTCACCGGCATTCACACAACTACCCAGATACACAAACTTATCAACAACTTCAAGCAGTTCACCCTCAACAGTGAGTGCAGGTACAGGCTTCTGCCAATCTTATAACAGTACTTTGCACTCAGACGGCGCAAAGTACATACCATACTTACAGACACCGATCGCTAACTGATTAAATGCGATTTGGGCAGCCTACATGCTATCGCACAGTAAGACGATATCATCTGCATACTCGGGGTCGAAAAGTCTATCTCCAGGTAGCAGATCCACATCACCTTCTGATATGTGTCCATATATATATATATATATATATATATATGGTGCTCTCTCTTTCTGTTGCTCTCTTAGTCTGTGACCATTTCACTTTGATGAACCTGTCTCCTTTAACAATGTGTATTCCCCTTATATTATATATAATATGTGTGTTTGTTTGACAGTCTGTTCTTGGTGATATATATATCCATATAATATGTGTGTTTG